ATAAAGGGGGCCTTTGTGCAAAATGTGGTATTTGTTCCAACTGGAGAAGATTTGCATCGAATTATCAGAGAGTCTGTTCAACAATGTGGACTACTTCTTCATTAAAAACACTGAAATATGCATATGAATGACTGCTTTTGAGTTTAAAGCATCTGAACTGTTTTCTTCCCTTGCTGGTTTAGTAATTGCAATATCAAAGCCATTCTTCATGGAGATTGTGTTCCAGATATAAGCATTAAGAACAGCATACAGTCTCAAAAAATTACATATTTAATACTGGAAAACACTGGTTTGCATACAGACCCAATACAGACCTTCACAAACCCTAATGATTTGACTGCAAAAAAGCTATTGAACAATTTCACTTTCATTGCCCAGGGAAAAAAAGTTCTACAATTTAACACACATTGAGACCTGAAGGGGCATGTTGTCACACTATATGGGGTAAGTTGTCACAACCTGGTATCAAACATGATTTTCATTCAAATTTCACAGTAAAGAATTATGAAACACAGAACAGTTTATTCATGAAATACAGGGAAAATCCAAAAGTGATAATAAATAATAATAATAATATATAATTTATTTATATAAATAAATACATTTATACAGATATAATTCTATTTTATTTATTTTATCTATGTATTCTATGCATCTGTTGTGATATTTTATACTTTTTTGAACATTTTTATGTAAAGCAACTTACTGTGGAAACCAAATTGTTGCAAACAATAAAAAAATATATATATTATTTTATTATAAATTATCTATTTGTCAGATCGGCCCTGCGGACCCATGATAAGAAAGGGAGAAAGACGAAGGAAAGAGAGATAATAAATGATCTAATTAATAATTGTGAAGTAAAAGTGGTTCAATAGCAGTTGAATCGGAACGCACGTGACTGCGCTGCGCCTTTAAGATTTCCCGCGAACTCTCTGCAGGACCGAAGGCGTCTTTCTCTGCCCCGCCCTCTCTCGCTAATGATTGGTCGGAACGCACGGCGTCTGTAGTGTGATTGGTTTAGCTTCCGTAAGCGTTAGCCTGATAGAGCGTCGCGTCGCTGGAGCGCGAGAGCAGAAGAAGAGGACGCTGAGGAGAGTTTGGGCTCGCGTCTCTTCTGATGTTACACACAAACTCACTTTATAAAATAGAAAACTTCCTGCGTTCGGGGTTTTTATCATTCATTTATCAGCTGGGTTTGATCTTCAGGCGATGGTTGGCGTTTTTCGGCTGACGGATGGATTGCGTCGCGGATGAAGCGGGAAGCAGGTGCGTTTATCGGCGATGATGATGAAGATGATGATGAAGATGATGATGAAGATGAAGGCGGCGCTGCTCTTCGGCTCCGTCAGAGGATGAACTTCAGTCCCGTCGCACCGAGCTGCCGGGGGGCTTCGTGCAGGGCTGGCGGATTCGTGGTCGCGGGGATATCGATGATTCTGCTGGGATCGGATGGAGCGTCAGTTCCTGGTAAATATGATTCGCTTCTGTCTGTCTGCTTCATCTCGTTCTACAGCTTCATTTGCGTTTCTTTCTCCTCCGCTGAGCTAAATACTGAATGAATGCTGAGGTGAATAAATACTGAGGTGAATGAATACTGAGGTAAATGAATACTGAGGTGAATGAATACTGAGGTGAATGAATACTGAGGTGAATGAATACTGAATAAATACTGAGGTGAATGAATGCTGAGGTGAAAGAATGCTGAGGTGAAAGAATACTGAGGTGAATGAATACTGAGGTGAATGAATGCTGAGGTGAATGAATGCTGAGGTGAATAAATACTGAGGTGAATAAATACTGAGGTGAATGAATGCT